TGCTGGTCATGATAGGCTCAGGGGTGCCCTAAGGGAGATCATTAACAGGTCCCTCTTGGAGGGCCTGTTCCCTGGGACACTGAAGAAGGCAATGTTTCATCCCCTCTTAAAAAAAATCCCTGGATCTGACCAAATTGGCCAACTATCAGCCGGTTTCCAACTTACCCTACTGACAGTTGAGGAAATCAGGAATGGCCAACAACCACCTGTGAGGTGCAATAATACTGCTGGCCCAGCCTCTCTGATGGCTTCCAACACACTCCCCCCACCTCCTACACCTAACAGGTGGTTGTCTGTCAGGTGCAGCAGCAGTTGCAGGGTGCTTAAAACCATGAGAGAGCCCGTCCCAGCAGTAACGCTTTAGTGATCCTGCCAGCCCCACCTCCACAGTGACTTCTAATAATCTTCCCCCTAAGGATTACCTTAGCCCTGCTGCTGGCCCAGCCTCCACAATGCCTTTAAACATAATCCCACCCCGACACCAGACAGACGATTGTCTGTCAGGTGTAGGAGTAGGACCAAGGTACTTTAATTCATCAGGCATGCCACTCCAGCAGGATCATCTTAGCGGTGCTGCTGGCCCAGCTTAGCCACACTCTCACCCACAATGGAAATGTAACCCAAATTTGTAGAAAACTGGTTTCCTTTATTAGGTTATTTAACTTCTCACAATGTGGGTTCTAGAAAATTGGTTCATATGAACTTGTTTAATATCTGATTGCTCGGCTGGTGTTTTGAATACATAGTTATGTCCCACTTCTTAACTGTAACATAAATGAGAAGCATTTTTGTAAAAAAAAAAGGGGGGGGAGGTAATGCCCCCCCAAATTCAATGCCCAGGCCAAACCCCTGCACCAAGAAACCCAAAATAAGGGGAGTGCATTCCTACCATGATGTCAAATCCCCCTGAAGAGATTTCTTAGAAACATGAGCCCCTAAGGGGGTAAAAATGGGCAAAATGTGTTCCCCCCAATTAATTTCCATGTGCCTGGCAGGCTGCTGCCTCCTTGTCCACCCCCTCCCGATTGGTCAATTGTGTTGTTCAGAGTTCTGAGGTAAAACCTGCCTACTTGCACCCACCTCCCTCTGATTGCTCAGCTGTGGATCTCAATGTTCTGAGGTAAAAACACAGTAAGAAGAGACTGCAGACAGTTGAGGACAGTTACAGAAATCAGCTATTCAAGACTCCTGAATAGACATTTTTCAAAAAAGCCAGCATGGCAATTGAGTTAATGAATGTTTATGGGGAGATAGTAAAAGACATTTTAGGAGCCATTTCGATGAGTGCCTCCCTCATGAACCTGAAGAAATGTCCATCACACCTTCACACCAACTCCCCCTCACACCTCTCGCCTCTTCCTGCCCCCAAGAAAGCTCCTGGCAAACATTGAGCCAGATACCCCAATGCTACAAGGAGGAGGCAATTTAGGAATGTGGCAAAGACATTTGCACTTAGTACACCTACAGTGCACTGAGCTGCACAGGCCAGGTACCAGCAAGATCACCCTGAGGTGCTCAGAACAACACAGTCTCCATATGAGCAAAACAATCCAGGAACACAAGTAGAGAGGCCATCACTTTCGTGGAAAGTGGCAGGAGTTGACTTAACAGACAATTGCTTCTTAAATGGACAGTTCTATGTTGCCTGCTCCAGAGTGAGCTCATCAAGCAGCCTGGTGATCCAAGCACCTGAGGGCAGAACCACCACTGTGGTCTACAGAGAGGTCCTTCAGTAGAGAGATTACACTTAAGAGGGGTCCTTCAGCAGAGAGATTAGACTGTAATCTTCTCCATTAGAATTCCTACAATAAATGTCACATTTCAAACTTCACATCATCAGTATTATAACTGGATTTACAGAACTTAAATACCATAGCGAAGCATGGGTATCAGGCTAGTAAAAAAATAAAATAATACCTAGTATACAGAGTGTATCATTAGTCACTATCTATTTTTTGATAGACAGATGGACTTGGATGGGGCATTACAGCCCATGGCTGGATGGTTACAACAGAGCCAACTGAAATTGAATCCAATGAAGACGGAGATCCTGTATCTGAGTTGGGGGGGGGGTTGGGTTGGAAATCCATTTCCCACCCCTCTATGGGGCGCCCTTGGTGCTGGCACCAAGGGTGAGGAGCCTTGGGGTGACTCTGGATCAGCCTTTTTGTCATCTTAGGCTGGTCAAGGAATTTGTTCCCTACCTTATCCCCCAGGACTTAGTTACAGTGATCCATGCAATGGTCACTTCCAGATTGGATTACTGTAACTCGCTCTACATGGAACTGACCTTGACACTGAACCGGAAAATGCACCAAGTGCAGAATGTGGCAGCACAACTGCTGACAACAATGCCTCCGCGGGCATGCATTCAGCTGGTGCTCCACAAACTGCACTGGCTGCCAATAGAGTACTGGATCCGGTTCAAGGTTATGGTTTTAACCTTTAAAGCCCTATGCAGCCAGAGATCTGCATATCTTCAGGACCATCTCTCTCCATATGTGCCCTGCAGATCAACCTTTTCTGTTGGTCCCTGGCCTGAAGGATGTCCATTTAGCCTTGACCAGAGTGAGGGCTTAATTGGCCTTGACCCCGGCCTGGTGGAACATGCTCCCATTTGAGATCAGGGCCCTGTAGGACCTGCTACAGTTCTGCAGGGCCTGTAAAACGGGGCTGTTCCACCTGGCCTTTGGCTGAGGCAACAGACACCCATTACATCTAGACCTCCCCTATGATGTGGAGCTATGTTTAGTGATTAAACATCTAGAGATTCCACTGAATGAGTTTCCCACTGCAGCATCATCTACAGGGTGATCATTCAAACATCTGATGCCCTAACCAAGACTGTTTTTGAATAGTTTCAATTCCATTGTATTATTTTAACCCTATTTATTGTATATTACAGTCACTACATTTGCTGAGTTGACTTGTGTAACCCACCCTGAGCCCGCTTGCAAGTAGGGTGGGATATTAATAAAAATAAATAAATAAACACCCACGTAAGAAGAGTTTCAAGCACATCAAGTTAATTCCATCTTCCTACTCCAACTAAGCAGAGAGTTCTATTAGTGTAATTGATTTAATTAGGTGATTAAAGACAAACATGGGCTTCTGTACTTGACTTTATAATAGTCTTCACTAATGCAGCTTTTATGAAATGGTCTAGACTTTTTTCTTTTAAATGAAAAGCCATAGTAAATATTCTATGCCATCATCTAATTTATTTTGCTTCTGACAGCCTTACTCCTTAGTCAGGGAGTACAGAGTATAAATTATTTGTTCCTACCATATGCCTAGAACCAAATGCTATTAAATGACAAAGAATACTATACAGAAATGCTGAATAGCAAATTCTATAATGTTTGATATTTCAGTAGATATTTCAGTATATATTGATGCCTTCAAAATTCAAAAGAAGAGGCGTGCTTGTAAGAGTTCTCCTCATGAGCTTTTTACAAACTAAGACCAATGATCATGCCCTTTCTCCTTACATAGTTTCAGAGGAGGTTTCACTGGAGGTGTCTCCATGAGACCCTCCCTATATATTAGCATGAAACAAACAGATTCCCAAGTACATAAGTACCTGAGAAATGTCGCTCTGAGTATGTAACAGGAATATTGTGTATCATGGGCTCTTAGGGTTGCAACCCTCCAGGTGGTAGCTGGAAATCTCCTACTATTACAAGTGATTTCCAGAAAACAGAGATCAGTTCACGGAGAAAATGGCCACTTCAGAAGGTGGACTCTATGACAATATACCCCACTGAAGACAATATACCCCATTGAAGCCCTTTCCCTTCCCTCCCCAAACCCCACCCTCCTCAGGCGCTATCCCCAAATCTCAACCCAGAGCTGGCAACCCTGTGGGAACTACACGTCCCAGCATGCCGTGCTCATGGGACAGTTTATCCCTGTAAATCAATACATTCCCTTTAAAGCTTTGCTTGATGCTAGATTAGAATAATTTTAAAAATCTACAATCTTTGGCCTATCAGAAACAAGCATTATATTTTGAAAGAGGACCACAACTTTGATCAGAGTACCCTTGAAATGCCAACACTGGATCATGGTTACATTTGGAAACCTCAGAAAGGCCTATCAAATTATGACACACAGCCTAGAGGACATTGCCTTGAAATTATGTGGCAAAGACCATTTTCCTTCTTGCTTACTGATATTATGCACTTTTAGTTGGCAGAGCTCCCTTAACTGGCACTGAATGTGGTCTCTGTTGAGGTTTGCATATGTATATAAAATGGAAGATTTGTCTTCACGTACCGTGAAGCTTCCTTCTCAGGGGTCCTGGAGTGGGGCAGTCCTCACTATTGGGGTAAGGCTCCTCCCCTCTGGAAGCAGGGTCCATCAGCAGAATTTGATCCTGGAGGGGAGGGGCTTGCCCAGGCCTCTGCAGTCCGTTTCCAAGCCATGCCTCCCATTGTCAGACCTCACATGCTAAGAAAGAAAGCAAACACTCCTCCTCCAAGCACATGAACTCCCCGACCAGTGTAACCAGGCCACAGCCATCACTAACTGTCTTAATGGGTTTTGGGTTTTTTGTTTTGAAAAAGAAAACATACCACTGTTGGGAAAGACTACATCTTCCCTATCCTAAGCTACTATAATGAACTTCAGAATCGTTCTGCCGGCTGACCCTCCTGTCCCTGAAGCCATCCCAAGATCAAACACTCAGGTGGGCAGGACTGCGCCACTCTAGGAACACCGAGAAGAAAGCTTCATGGTAAGTGAAGACAAATCTTCCATTCTCCGGTGGTCCTTGTGAGTGGGATGTAACAGAGCAGTGTGCCCCAGGGTGGGTAATTGGCTGCAGAAACTAGAGGGTGTGCTGCAGAATTCTCCTGCCAAAGGCAGCTCCTGCAAAAGCCATTTTGTCAATCCTATAATGTTTGGTAAAAGAATGTGCTAACTTCCAGAGTGGTCGACAGTCTCATCAGATCTTGGAATCACGCCCGCCTCAGCCAGAATGCTGCTATCAGAATTACCTCTGCCTGTTGCTCTATGGTGTTTTGCACTACCATGAAGATCAACTGAATTGGAGGGAAGGCGTACAGTCTCTGACGGGGCCACTCACAGCTCAGAGCGTCCACCCAGATGGCCTTTTGGTCTCTTGTCCTGGGCATGAATTTTTGTACTTGCCAGTTTTGAAAGCTTGTGAAGAGGTCTATGTCCACCCCTCCGAATCGCTGGCATAGCTGTTGGAACACCTCCCTGTTCAGAGCCCACTCTGACTGATCCAGGCTCCTGCAACTCAGCCAGTCCACTAGAACATTTTCCTGGCCTGGAACATGAATCACTTTGATGGATTGTAGATGACTTTCTGCCCACTGCATCAGGAGGTGAGCTTCCTTGTGGAGGGACTTGAACCTGGTCCCCCCTTGCCTGTTTACATATGCCTTTGTTGTCATGTTGTCCGTCTGCACTAGGACATGGCAGTCTGAGAGTAGCTCTTGGAAGTTCAGAAGACCCAGCCTGATGTCTCTAAGCTCCAGGAAATTGATGCTGCAAGCTGCTTCTTCTCTTAACCAGATGCCCTGAGTCATCCTTCCCTGCACATGTGCCCCCCACTCAGACTTGGGTCTGTGGTCATCACCACTCTCTTGGGTTCCCACAGTGGAACCCCCCATTGAAATCTTGTCGGTCCCAACCACCAGATCAACTCTTTCTTAAGGTTCTCTGGCAGGGTAACCGACCAAGGACTCTTGTTTGCAATGACCTCCTGGAAGGGCAACAGGAACCTATGTAGAGTGTGAAATCTTGACCATTGAAGGACCTCCTGACAAGACATCATCAGTTCCTGTAAGTGAGTTAAGGCCATCACCTCCACCTTTGGTTGTTGCAGCACTGAAGTCACCAAAGCGTGGACTTTTTGTTGTCTCTCCTGGGTTAGGAAAACTTTGTCCTGAACCATGTCAATCTGGGCTCCTAAGTGAACTGTGCTGGGTGAAAAATGCTCTTCCCTTCGTTGATCACAAAGCCATGGCTCTGGCGAGACTGTATTGTACTTCTCACTGCTTTCAGGGTGCCGTTGAGGGAGGGTGCTTTGATCAGAATGTCATCAAGATACGGACACAGGGATACCCCCTCCAGTCTCAAGTGAGCCACTAGTGTCACCAAGATTTTGGTGAACACTCTGGGGGATGATTTTTAGACCAAAGGGAAGCGCTCTGTATTGAAAGTGCTTCTTGTTGTAGGCAAACTGAATGAATTTGTGGTGAGAGTCTCTGATTGGTACATGTAAGTAAGCCTCAGATAGATCTATGGAGGTCATAAAGTCTCCTTTTTGTATGGCTGAGAGAGTTGACTTGAGCGTCTCCATCTTGAACGACTTCATTTTGATCCATCTGATTAATCATTTCAAATCCAGGATCGCCCTGAAGTCCCCATTCTTTTTTGGCACAATGAAGAAAATGGAGTAGATCCCCTGTGTCTGTTGACTGTCTGGTATAGGCTCTATGGCCCCTATGTCCAGTAGGTGTATGGCCATTTTCAATAGCTGGTATCTTTGTTTGGACTGATTCTTCGGGATCTGCAGGAAACGCCCCGGGGGAATGCATGAGAACACCAGGGAGTACCCATTTGTGACTGTGTCCAGGACCCATTTGTCCTGAACAGTACATTGCCATTGACATGCAAACCTCTGGAGGCGTCCCCCTATCCCTGAAGTGTCCTGTAGGTCCATATAGTCAATAAACTTGTGCAAATCCTCCTTCTCTTGGGAGCTCATGGCATATAATTTCCCTTTGGGTAATTTCTTGTTTGGGATGAATTCGATGGCACAATCAGAGTGTCTGTGGGGGCAATTCGTCCGCCTCCTCTTCTTCAAACGGGGTTCTCGCCTTTCATGATGGTCTACGGTTATGAGGCTCCACCACTCCCATCCTCTCAGATGTCCCGCTACCTGAGGGGGAAGTGGGGGATTGGTGTCAACGCTTGAAAGATGCCTGGCCGGTCCTGTGCAAAACGTTAGATGCTGCCAAGTTGGCTTACAAGATTCAAGCTGATAAAAAATGGTCTGACTGTTGGGAGATCAAACCTGGTGATTCGGTTTATGTGTCTACTAAAAATATTAAGGGCTTACGTCCAAGTCGTAAGTTGGGATGGAAATATGTGGGCCCCTTTAAGGCTAAACGTAAAATCAATGAAGTGGCTGTGGAACTTGAATTATCGAAAAACCTGAGACATTTGCATTCCGTTTTCCATTTCAGCCTTCTTAAGCGTCTGCAGAAAAGGCATATTCGATGTGGCCAGGACGTTAGTGGCACTCGCGGTACTCAAAGCAACTGAGCTTACCGCGATCACTGACAAGTCATGCTGATGATCCCTTCTTAGGCCCTTTTGACGTTTGATTGGTCTTCTGAAAGGAAGAGGACTTGTTGTCATCTCGTGACTTGGACTGCCACTTGCTCCAAAAGGACTTGAAGAAACTTTACCTAGAGGATCTCTTAGAATCCCAAAAGGACTAGAACTTCTCCCTCTGTGTCCCTTCTTTTTTCTTGGAAAATAAGGCTTTTTTCTTATCCTTATCTTCCATCAGGCATTTGTCCATCCCATCGCCAAAGAAGTTGATGCCCCTAAAAGGCACTGTCGCCACCTTAGGCTGGGCTGCAGGGTCTATTTCCCAGCCTCTAAGTCAAGTGTTTTGTCTAGCAGCCACACTAAAGGACATAGCCCTGGCTGACATCTGCACAGCATTCAAAGATGGATTAGTTGCAAAGGCTGCCGCCAAGGTGATTTTCTTTATTTCATCTTTGAGGTCTTTAGACAGCTTGCTGTCTGCCGCTACCAGATCTGAGGTCCATGAGAAGGCTGCCCTCGCAAAGAGAGATCCCGCTGTCGAGGTCTTCAGAGCACTGGCTGATGCTGCAAAATCCCAATGTAAGGCTTGTTCAATGCTTTTGTTGCATGGATCTTTGGGGAGACCATCTACTGAAGTGGATGCCAAGCTGGTAACTGGGTCATCTGCCAGTGGCAGCTTAATTCTTTTCGCTGCCTCTGGTATCAAAGAGTAAAATTTTGAGAAGGCTGGGTGGTTGACTTTCACCTTGGATGGCGTCTCCCACTCTGTCTTTATATGATTATAGAAGGTGGCTGGAAGTGGAATTCCTGAAGCCTTCACTCCTGATTTGGGAAGAGATTTTTCCGCTCCCTCAGGAAAATCTGGGTCAGGCTCCGCTTTCCCTTTTGGCTGTGTAGCAAGTTCAAGAACTCTCGGCACCTTAGGGAGAAACTTAGGGTACAGGTCTTGAGGAAAAAGTGTAGCCTGAGTGAGACCACCACCTCTTTCTCTTCCTCAGATAATTCCCCTTCTTCCTTGGGGAAAGAGGGCTCTGAATTGTCTGAGTCCTCAGACTGATCCTCTAGGAGATCACCTCAGCTGCCCAGTTCCCCATGGTGTTAGGCAGCCTATGGCTCTACGATCATGCCCCATACATCCTGTGGGATGAGGGAGTGGTTAAATTCATTTCCCCTAAGTGCCAGGCTCATGTCTGGGAAGAACCGTGGGGGGGGGGCCTCCAGACGAACCGATCTGGACTTGTTTGGCTGCCGCAGAACTGAATTCCATCCCGGTGGAGTACCGGGATCTACCCGGGTGAGGATGACAGCATTCATCGTATGCGAGCAGCAGAAAGCCGCAAAAGCTAGCATCGGCAGACTGCCCCTAAAATGAACTGTGCCTGTTGTGGGGGTGATAATGAGCATCGGAAGTGTCGTTTCTGTGATGTCCAGTGCTGGGAATGCAGAAAAACAGGACACATCACCCGAGTTTGCCATTCGTCAAAGACCAAGAGGTCACCCCACGAATCCATGAGCAGGTGCCGCCCTCTGCAAAGGTACAGCAAACAAAAAATACTGATTGTCATACAATGCATGAATGCCTTCACCACTTGTCAGTGGTGCAACTGCAGACGAAGAACAAAATAAAGGTAACAGCCATATTTGACAACGTTCCCTGCGAGATGGAGGTCGACTCAGGGTTGGTGCTCACCATCATCTCCACACAAACGCTTCACCACTTATTTCCCAGATGGAACAGATGTCGTCTGGAGCTGTGTGACCTCTACTTGGTCGATTTCCAGAAACAATGGATCCAGATTGCGGGAATTGGCAAGTTCATGGTGCGGTTCAAGAACTTCTACAAACTGCTTGTGTGATAACACCCTATATGAGACAGAAGCCACAATGATGAACAAATGTTTTTCTCAAACCATTTTTATGTCTGATATTTTATTTATTTTTATTTGATTTTTACCTCGCCCTCCAAAGCCTTTCAGAATGTTTGCAAATTTGTTTTACTTTCAGTAAGGGAAGCAGACTAATGTTGTGATGCTATTGGTATATAGAAGACAGTGCTGGTCGCCCTTACTGACAACCTCCGGAGGCATCTGGATCGAGGCGGTGTGTCGGCCGCATTTGACACGGTCGACCATCAGCAGCTGATCCACCGTCTTGCCGTGGGGATACAGGGGCGTGCCCTTCAATGGTTCACCTCTTTTCTCCAAGGTCGGGGACAAAGGGTGGCACTAGGGGAACAGCAGTCCCGAAGGCACCCGTTTGAATGCGGTGCACCCCAGGGGGCTGTGCTTTCCCCAATATTGTTTAACATCTATATGCACCCCCTTGCCAGATAGCTCAGAGGTATGGGCTAGGGTGTCATCAATATGCATATGACACCCAGCTCTATCTGATGTTGGCTGGCCAGTCGGACTCCAGCCCAGAAGATCTTAACCGGCGTTACAGGCCGTCGCTGGTTGGCTTAGACTGAGTAGGCTGAAACTAAACCCAACGAAGACGGAGGTCCTGTGCCTGAGTCGGGGAGGTCTGGGGGTGGGGCTCCCTCTCCCAGCCTTCGATGGGGCACCTTTTGTGCCAGCGTCGGAGGTTAGGAGTTTGGGAGTGCACCTGGATTCCTCCCTAACTATGGAGGCCCAGGTGGCAGCCACTGCCAGCTCAGCTTTCTATCATCTTCGGCTGATTCGGCAGTTGGTCCCCTTCCTTGACCGCAACAACCTGGCTACAGTGATCCATGCGACAGTCACCTTGAGATTAGACTACTGTAATGCTCTCTACATGGGGCTGCCTTTGTCGCAAGTTCGGAAGCTGCAGTTAGTGCAGAATGCTGCAGCCAGGCTTTTGATGTGCCTCCCTAGATGGGAGCACATCTGGCCTGTGCTGAAAGCACTGCACTGGCTTCCAATAGCTTTCCGAATTTGCTTCAAGGTGCTGGTGCTTACCTTTAAAGCCCTATATGTCCAGGGTCCGATATACCTGAGGGACTGCCTTTCCCCATATATACCCCAGAGAGCATCCTGAGGCCTCCTCCTTGCACCTCCTCCAAGCTCAAGGGCTCGGCGTTGGTCTGGGGATTGGGCCTCGTGGCGTTGCTCTGCTGGTCGGCCACTGCCTCACCGGCAGCCTCCTCGCTTCTCCTGAGGTTCCATTGTGCCGGGTCAGTCTCCCACGGCCCGGATGCTGTTGCCCAGGTATGTGCTGGGGGAGCCTTGGAGCCAAGAGAAGGAGGAGGGGGAAGGAAGCCTTGGTG